ACACTGCTATGGCTGAATCAGGCTTTGTGTTCAGCAAAGGATGGGAGGCTAAAGCGATTGACCCTAATTAGGGTTGAAGCGTTGTCACCTCCTCCTCCCCCCTCTCCCCTAGTTATCCCAGTTTATTATAAATCTGCTATTATTTGATTTTAGGGTTTAGTTTTGGATGAAATTTCTGTTTGGATAGCCTCTGACATCCCTTTTTTCCCTTCTATGGCTATTTTGACGGCGAGAAGGTGCTCCGACTGTAACTCGTTCAAGGTGGTGTATATCTTTTCCTAATTCATTACCTTCTTCCCGCCATCCACCATGTAGCCTTACCACCCTTCCTGCGAACCCCTTGTAAGTTCTTCCCTTCAACTGGAGAAAATATTGCATATGTATTATGTACTTAAAATGGTGGATTGAGTGGCCACGTCACCATAATTTCACTTATATGTTACCCGTTCTCTCTACTTTTCCTGCCGCTGACCTCATTCCAACCCCCCCATTGCCACTACAACAACCCTAACCTCTCACCCATCCACCCCACCGCAACCTCTTATCTCGTTACTACCCCAAACCGACCAACCTTCCTCTGTTATCAACCATAAACCCAATTCCCCCTCTCCTAGTTATCTTAGCGTATTATAAATATGAAGTTATTTGGTTTTAGGGTTTAGTTTTGGTTGAGATTTATGTTTTGATAGCCTCCGAAGTCCATCTTTTCACTTCTAGGGCTGTTTATGATGGCGAGAAAATGCTCTGGTTGTAACTCGTCCGAGGTGGTGTGCATTTTTCGCTAATGCAACCCTAACCTCTCACCCATCCACCCCACCGCTACCTCTTATCTCGTTACTACCCCCAAACCGACCAACCTTCCTCTGTTATCAACCATAAACCCAATTCCCCCTCTCCTAGTTATCTTAGCGTATTATAAATATGAAGTTATTTGGTTTTAGGGTTTAGTTTTGGTTGAGATTTATGTTTTGATAGCCTCCGAAGTCCATCTTTTCACTTCTAGGGCTGTTTATGATGGCGAGAAAATGCTCTGGTTGTAACTCGTCCGAGGTGGTGTGCATTTTTCGCTAATTCTTCACCTACTTCCCCTCCCTGCTTGCCGCCATCCACCCTGAAACCCTACCCTTTCCATGAAGCCCCACGCAGGTTCTTCCCTCCAGCCGCCAATCAATACAGGTTATCCCTGTTTTTTCTGCCGCTGACTTCATCCCAGCCCTACCATAGCCATTACAACCTACATACTTGCTACCCACCACCCACCCCCGTCCCTGTTGCCTTGGGTGTTTTTATGCTTGTTAATTTTTATTTCCTGTTTTGAAGATTTGTAGTTGTAATATATTTGAATTCCAGCAATAATATTTATATTTCTTTGTGGTTTGGATTAATTACGTGTCAATAGGTGGTGCCTGTTCATGATGTTAAACTGTCTATAATATACCTTATAACTATTATTACATTTTGTGTAATTTATCTATATTTTTCTCTATGCTGCTCTGTGTTTGTGCAAGCATATTTCCTTTTAATTAAATGATAAAAAAAGTAGGTGTTATTCAAAAGTTCATGCACAAAAATTTCTACTCCTGGCCATGAAAGTTAACCTCAATAGCTTCTTGAGGGGAAAGTAGAGCGGCTTTAAGGAACAAAGACTGTACGGAGACACAAATCAGACATTATTATGGATTATTTATCTCTATATTTTAATTAGTTAGGTTGATCAGGCCTAATGGGCTTTTCAATGGCCAAGTTCTGTGGACCTTTTTTGACCTGGTTGCGTATCAGTGCTAGGCTCAGGTTTCTTCATGGTTTTAGAAGAGGGAGTGAGCAAAAATTTGTGAGCAGTGTTTATAGTGCAAGCTAATGAAAATAATATTGTTGTTGGTTTGAAATGCTGGATTTCTTCATGGAAGGTTACAGTTAAAATTTATTTATGGGACCCTTTTGAAACGACATAAATTTGTTGTGAATAAGCAACTACCTCCACCCTCCTATGAGAGACAATATAACTTTTTATACAGATATGGAAAGAGAAAAATGAGCTAAAAACTTTGTGATACTAGAGAGAGAGGGAGAGATTGGTGGCGGGGGTG